CGACCGGTGGCTCCGCGTATGGAATACCCAAATATGTGTCCACTTCTGTGCCGTTGAATACTTGTGTGAATCCATTGATTACTCCGTTCTCTATCGAAACGCTAACACTCTTTGCGTTGATTTCTATAGTATTTATAATAATAAATAGAAACACAAATTGAATGAATTTATTGAATAACATTTTGATATTGATTTCTACTGATGTATAGAAATATGTAATGAAATTTAAGGTAAATCAAGTTCTTTATATACCAATTTGTTTAATATCAATGCTATGGATAGACCTTGAGTTTATTTCTTCAATTTAATTGATACAATGCACTCAACATTATAAAGGGTGTCCCAATGAATTTGTACTATTTGTATCATATACTAGCTTTTATTCTTTAAACAATTTATCCCTAATAGCAAATAATTTTTTTATTACTAAGTAATGGAAATATAATGGGACTAATTCAAAATTAATTTTATATAATTTAAATTTTATTTAACGGACGTTTGCCTAATCAAGAACAATTTTAGCAAAAATTTGCACATTTAAACTTAATGGATTTTGAGACCTAATTTTACAAATGTCATTTTAACAGGAAAAAACACAAGTGAAATTATATTGTTAGTATCTAAAGATAAAGTATAGTTTATACTTGTTTGAAAATGGCCGAGTTTATTGAAATCGGATTATAGATGCTTAATCTACACGTGTTTATAATTAACTACTCATTCAATGCTTTCCTATGGAAATACACAGTAGTACAAATTCATTGGGACACCCTTTACATAAAGTTTATATAAAACTTTATATAAAAACAATGAATTTTCTCATTTATCCGTTTATTATAAGTACTTTTAGTTCAACTAGGGTGACCAGATATTTTTAGGAAATTGAATGACATTTACTCAATATTTGTTCCTAGCGGAGGACACTTTAGTATCAAATGATGTATTTATATCTCACATGATATTGAGTTTATACTATGGATTTGAAATGCGTTCAAAATAAACAAAATAGCAATTCTAGGCATAATTTAGCAGAAACCAACCTAAATTCTAAAATATATAAAATACTGATTTATTTTAACCAAGATGTTGTAATTATATAATACTGTTAGCAAATTAGTGGTAGAATATTACATATAATAGCATTAACAATGTTGTATTATTCATTGCTTAGTAATAAAAGTAAGTTATCAGGTTTTGGGCTCATTATTTATACCATTTGCTTTACTAATTATTATAATTTTTAAAGTAAGTATACACTATGATATGATATTTTTTATTTTTCACCATAATTAGATATCACTAATATATAAATTAAAGATGATGAATACTATATATTTAATTTAAACATAATAAGTTTTTAAAATATAATCATATATTTAGGAGACTAATACATATTATGAATAAAATATTGTTTTTATTCCAAAACCGCAACGGAGGACAATGTATAGGCCTCCGTAAGGTCTACGAAAGACGGTGCCAAAAATGGTCGATTGGAGGACAATGCTATGTAACGGAGGACGTCTGGTCACCCTAGTGTACTATATGCACTATAAGTTATATTTAGGGAAACCGCTGGGAAGCGATTTGGAAGCGATTTAGGTTTAATAAGCATGAATACAACTGTGACTATCGCAACTATTTTATTGATTTATGATATTTAACAAATTAAAAAGCAATTTATACGTTTGTCTACCAATATTTCTATCACAAACGCTTACCAAAGTTTTTTGGGAAAATGTTTTTTGCATGTGACAAACGTTTCAGTCCTTATTTGAATTGAAATAATTATAAGTAATTGATAGAAAAACCATTTTTTGGTAGTCTGAATATTATATGACTCAAAAAGCGGTTGCCCTAGTTATATTTCCCTTTTTTCTAGAAAGAATATAAATTGAAAATAATATTATTTCGTATAAATCTGTTATTTAATATTAATTTAGACAAACATAAACTAAAAGAAGATTTGTAATCAAAGCTATTGGCTGGTTAGATGACCAAGGAAAGCACTTTTGAATAAAGCAAATGGTATGAAGCATTCTTTTTTAAAAGATTTCTTATAAGAGAATGACATTTAAGTGTTCGCATAAATTATAGTCACATTTGCTAAGGAATATTCCCAGTTTGAAAATTTATTTTAAAATTACAGTATGTAACTAATGCTAATAACTGATTTTATAAACTGATAAAAACTTTTTAAACTGATAAAAAAGTTGCTATAGTCATTATTTCATACAAAATAGTAAAGAGTTACCCAAAAAGCATAGAAAAGGAATAATTTTGGTGACTCTCATCATGTTAATAGTAATTTGTGACTTTATAATTTAATGTAAACTCAATATAACTATGTTGGTACTATAGTAAAGATTTATAATTTTATAAATTATAAAATTTAATAAATTAAATTATTTAAGGTATTTATATTAAAAAAGTAAAATGTAATATTTTTCATTTAATAATTTATTAAATTAAAATATGATATGTTTTAAAGTTCATTATAATATAAAAAAAATTACATTAAATAATATTAAATACAGTATTAAAATCAATGGTTGTATTGATTCCATAGATAATCGCATTCATCGATCTTTAATCCAGTGTTGAAATTAGTGACAGATTTCGGTTCATTTGTGTACTCATAATACGGCGCTATTATATTGGCTCCCATTGAATAGTATTGCGGCCATTGGGCGCCGTCTATAACACCCGGATTACTATAAAATGAATTTAAATGTTATTTTTATAGTTTTAATTAAGTGTTTATTAAATACAAACCCAGTTTTGGCCAAATTCAAGAAGGAGTCCATCATTTGTGAGGATATGTCTCTCTCGCGATCCAAATAGTTTTTTGGCTGAATGAATGGCACACCAAAGGCTGGAATGACATCACTTGCATGACAGACACCCATCCATTTACTAAAACATAAATATCTAGGTGTTCCTAATTTGCTGTTATAGTAGTATTGATAGACTTTAGTTCCGGTTTTGTCACTTGAAAAGGCATTCTTTGCAAACTGAATGGTCGGACACGTCATTAAATAATCTCCGAAAGCGATACCAATTTCTTGGATTAATAAGTCTTTGGGTGTATGAGTGGAGAGACCCGTGAAATACATTCGGGAGACGTCTTCGCCGTTAACCGGTTTACTAAGTCTTATACTCGAAGACATTGTCTTCAATGCATCAAAGGCTTCATTATATGTGAAACTTTTAGGATTAAACATACTATAAGTAATGTTGTCGACAAACATCGACAATAGTAGAGACCCCTCGTCCTGTGCGTTACCTATCATTAGATTCAAACCCTTCTTATAATCTCCTGTTTCTAACATTTCAAACGGAGTTTTAGTAAATATTTTTCCGTCGACGACAAAGAGGGGAACCGCTGCTAATTTATTGGTCGATGAGATGATTGGACCGACAGGTGTTAGAGCCAACTTCTCAATCGGAACTTTTCGCAAACAATCCATTATTTTGGTGTTAAATGTTTTGTCAGTTTTCTGAGAACATCCCAATCGTTGCGATTGTTTTAACCAATATTTGACAGATTTTTCTGGTGTAGAAACGGCTCCGTAAAGAAGTGTCGATCCGGACATCATTATAGCGTTTTGAAACAAATCTCGACTCATTGGCGATAATATAAGACCAGACACTGAAATACTACCAGCGCTTACACCAAATATTGTCACTCTATTAGCGTCTCCGCCAAACTGACCGATATTTTTCTTAACCCATTGAAGGGCTAATGTCTGGTCCCAGAAGAGTGTATTTCCGGGCGCGTCATCTGTTCCCGAGTATAACATTCCCAAAGACGCCAATCTATACAAGTAATGAAAAAGTTATATAACTTATTGAAACAACAAACTTATCTAAACCAGAACTCACCTGTAATTAATGGACACAACAATAACATCGCCTCTCGTCACTAATGCCATAGGATTTGTGTAGAATTCAGTGGAGGCGCCCACAACGAAACCCCCGCCGTGGATCCATACCATCACTGGCTTCAGTCCAGTGTCCGACTTATTAGGTTTGGGTGAAAATACATTGAGATACAAACAATCTTCGCTCATGCTTGGATTTTGTAACATTTGTAGCGCAGCACTGGATTGATAACAAGCTTTTGGCCATTTGGTTGTGTCCAGAGGTTTGGTCCACTTCTTCGCCGGCACTGGTCTTCGGAAGCGGAGGTCACCGACCGGTGGCTCCGCGTATGGAATACCCAAATAGGACTCCACTTCTGTGCCGTTGAATACTTGTGTGAATCCATTGATTACTCCGTTCTCTATCGAAACGCTTACACTCTTTGCGTTGATTTCTATAATATTTATTACAATAAATAGAAACACAAATTGAATGCATTTATTGAATAACATTTTGACGTTTGATTTCTATTGATGTGTAGAAATATGTGATGAAATTTAAGGTAAATCAAGTCCTTTATATACCAAGTTGTTTAATATCAATGCAATGGATAGACCTTGAGTTTATTTCTTCAATCCAACTGATAAAATGCACTCAACATTAAGTATATATGAAAACAATAAATATTCTCGCTAGTTTGATTGATGCATTGGCGATAAGTTCACATCCATTAAATATATAGTTCACATTAAGTGTATTCAGTTTAATATATTCAAAATGCACTTATATTTTCCCTTTTTTCTTGAAAGAATATACATACAATGTAGAAGATAATTATATGTTGTATAAGTCTGTTTTTTAATATTAATTTAGACAAACATATACTAAAATAAGATTTGTAATCAGCTTCAGGCTAAGTTAGATTACCAAGGTAAGCACATTTGAATAAAGCAAATTATACGAAACATTATTTATTATAGATTTCTTATAAGAGAATGACATTTAAATGTTCTCAAAAATTGTATTCACATTTGCTAAGGAATATTTCCATCATCACGTGAAAAGTTACAAATAATATCATCTAACCATATTCTATTAATTAAATGATTGCCACAAAATGATAAACAAATTATTGCCATAGTACTTTATGTTAACACTGTACACTGTACAGAATTAATAATAACTCAATTCTTTATTTAAGCATTTAGTAAATTAATTTGATAAAAATTAAATAATTTTAAAATATTTAATAAAAATTTAATTAAATCAATGGTTGTATTGATTCCATAGATAATCGCATTCATCGATCTTTAATCCAATGTTGAAATTAGTGACAGATTTCGGTTCATTTGTGTACTCATAATACGGCGCTATTATATTGGCTCCCATTGAATAGTATTGCGGCCATTGGGCGCCGTCTATTGTACCAGGGTTACTATCAAATAGATTTATATGTTATTATTGTTATAAAGTGAGAAGCACTCAATACAAACCCAGTTTTGGCAAAATTAATGAATGAGTCCATTATTTGAGAGGATATCTCTCTCTCGCGATCTAAATAGTCATTTGGCTGAAGGAATGGCAAACCAAATGCTGGCATTAAATCATTTCCATGACAAACACCCATCCATTTCCCTAAACAAACTAATTTAGGTTTTCCTAATTTAGTATTGAAATAGTATTGATAGACTTTTGCTCCCGTTTTATCACTTGAAAGGGCATTCTTCGCGAACTGAATGGTCGGACAAGTGATAACATAATCTCCGAAAGCGATACCAATTGTTTGGATCAATAAGTCTTTGTGGGTATGAGTGGAGAGACCCGTGAAATACATTCGGGAGACGTCTTCGCCGTTAAGCGGTTTACTAAGTCTTAGTCCGGAAGATAATGTCTTCAATGTATCAAATGCTTCATTATATGTAAAGTTTTTGGGATTAATTATATTATAAGTGATGTTATCGACTAACATCGCCAATAGGATAGACCCCTCGTCTTGAGTGTTGCCTATCATTAGATTTAAACCCTTCTTATAATCTCTTGTTTCTAACATTTCAATCGGAGTTTTGGGAAATATCTTTCCGTCGACGACAAAAAGTGGAACCATATCTAACTTATTAGTTGATGGGATTAATGGCGAAACAGGTATTAGAGCCAACTTTTCAATCGGCACTTTTCGCAAACAATCCATTATTTTTGGTGTAAACTTGTGGTCACTTTCATCTGAACACCCGATTTGTTGCGATTGTTTTAACCAATATTTGAGTGAATTTTCTGGTGTATCGACGGCTCCATACATTAGTGCTGATCCGGACATCATTATAGCGTTTTGAAATAAGTCTCGACTAAATGGCGACACTATGTGACCACTCACTGATTGACTACCGGCGCTCTCTCCAAATATGGTCACTTTGTTGGCGTCTCCGCCAAATTGACGGATATTTGCCTGAACCCATTGAAGGGCTAATGTCTGGTCCCAGAAGAGTGTATTCCCGGGCGCGTCATCTGTTCCCGAGTATAGCATTCCCAAAGACGCCAATCTTGGCAATCAATAAATAATAAAATGTTATATACTGTACAACTGATTAATATAAAATGAATAGCAACTGTTTTTATTTTATACAAATTATAAAAAGAGCTAACCTGTAATTAATTGATACAATGATAACATCTCCTCTGGCAGACAATACGAGGGGATTGTATTGTACTTCACTGGACGAGCCTATAATGAAGGCCCCGCCGTGGATCCAAACCATCACTGGTTTGAGTCCAGTGTCCGACTTATTAGGTTTGGGTGAAAATACATTGAGATAAAGACAATCTTCGCTACGATTTTTGTTTTGCATCGTTAATAACTCAGCGTCTGATTGATAGCAAGCATTTGGCCAATTAATTGTGTCCAAAGGTTTGGTCCACTTCTTCGCCGGCACTGGTCTTCGGAAGCGGAGGTCACCGACCGGTGGCTCCGCGTATGGAATACCCAAATATGTGTCCACTTCTGTGCCGTTGAATACTTGTGTGAATCCATTGATTACTCCGTTCTCTATCGAAACGCTTACAGTCTTTGCGTTAATTTCTATTATATTTATAGTGTTTAATACAAAGAAAAACTGAATGTATTTATTGAAAAGCATATTTGAATAATATTAATATTTTATTAATATAAAACAATTTTTAAAATTAACCTTAAATAAATCGTTTATATACCAAATTGTTTCATAGTGTACTTGTGTCGCAACATTTAGACAGTAGATATGTTTGATGTGATAAAACAAATCTCTTTGTGTTATATACAGTATTAATAGTTTTTTAAAGTACATTTCAAGTCTGCGTGTACACGAATAAGTTAATCCATTCACAATACATATAAGTTATATGATATAACTAGTTTATAAATTTAATTGTTTTAGTTCAGAACTTTAATTGTTTAGTAATCTTATATGAATATTTCCATAAAAATAAATAGTTAATACTTCACTGTAATAAAATTACTAGTAATTAGTACATGGGCTCCAAATATGAATTTAATTATTATCTAAATTTCTAAATGATATAAAAGTGCAAATATTTATCACAATATTTTCAATATCTCTCAAAATATTTTTATGTTATAAATGGTGGAATAATTTTTATTCAAAGTAAATATGACAGAGATTTAAATTCAATGCATTTCCTTTAATTTAATAGGATTTTAATATTTAAAATCGCAGTTTAAATCTAATATTATTATTAATACATTTCTAACAACACATAATATTCTGTAAGGTATTGTGTAGAATATTGTGTAGAAAAGTTTTGAAATCAGGTAAAATAATTTATTTAAATTGATTTTATATTAATAAACTAATAATTATGTTTATTCCACAAATAATCGCATTCATAATGCTTTAATCCAAAGTAAAAATTAGTGACAGCTCTCGATGTATTTGTATACTCATAATACGGCTCTACTATATTGTCTCCCATTGTGTAGTAGTGCGGCCATTGGGCGCCGTCCATAACACCAGGGTTACTTTTTTTTGTATAAAATCAAATTATAATTGTATAGCATTTACTTGAATATTGTAATTAAACTCACCCCGTTCTTATAAAACTGATGAAAGAGTCCATCATTTTTACCGATATATCTCTTTCGCGGTCTATATAGTCGGTGGGCATAAGGAAAGGGTGACCAAAGGCTGGCAACATATCGCTTGTGTGACAAACACCCATCCATTTGCCTAAACATATGATAGGTTTTCCTACTTTAATGTTATAGTGGTATTGATATACTTTCAC